GGGGCTGCCGGAGCAGCCCCTGGTCTGCAGGAGCTGCCCTCTGCTCCCCTCCCAGCCCAGGAGGGGGACGCTGCCCCACCAGCCCCGCCGGGCAGCGGGCACGGCGGCGTCTCCATCGCCCGGCAGGGTGCTCGAGAGACAGGGGACGCGGCGTTTCCAGAAGGGCGAGCGACCCAGGTGCCCGTTTGCGCGCGAACCGGTTGACGGCATTCGGGGGCGAGGGGCGTGGATTGAGCCAGTCCCCCCGCCCGCCCCGTGCGTCTGCCCGCTCCATCGGCCTCCACGCCCGATCTTGCGTCGATGCCAACGAAGTAGATCGCGAAGAGCGAGTCGTGAAGGTGTGCTCTGGGCACTTCACCAGCCAGATTCGTGCCCCGCTTTCACGCGGCTGCACCTCGGTGCGCGGTCCCAGGGGGTCTTTAACACGGGACTCGTGAAGTGCTGTTCGAGAGCGTGCGCTGCTATCCGTGCCCGTGAGAGAGCGCGCGGCGCCTCGTCCTCCCTATAGCAGCATTAAATACTCTGGCGGGCGGGGGGGATATGTAAAACTGTGGCAAAGCAGATGCTGGTGAGGTAAATTGGCGTGAAGCAATCGCACACCATTAATTATGGTTTTTTATGGATTATGTATTATTTATAGAGTTTGTTTGGAGAAATCAAGTTTTATAAAGCTGCCATTTTAGACTTTTCTCCATTGTCTGTGCAAATAGTGGTGAACAAAATGGTTTGCCGTTGGGGGATATGAGAGGTTGATAAAAGAACGACCTGAATAAACAATCGATTGGTTTTTCTCCCCTCCCCCTCGATCTGTCTCATGTCTGCTGCTGCTCCTCGCTGTCTGCTCCCAGTTGGCTTCTGCTCTCCCGTGTGTGTTGAGGTCCCGTCAGAGACGGAGGCTGTCCAGGGAACGCACATGAAGCTACTCTGTATCTCCTGCATGAAGAGAGAGGAGGTTACCGCCACCACGCTGGTCGAGTGGTTCTATCGGCCTGAAGGCGGGAGAGATGAACTTGTACGTACGTTTGGAGCCTAGCTCTTTGTTTCCATAGCCCTTTGTGTGACGAACGTGTGTAGCAAATACATGAGGGCAGGTGCAACTAGTACTTTGTCTTGCTTTTGGGTCGCAGTTGTCATGTCTATACATGCATTACTGTGCTGTAATTACGGCACGGTTAGTACCTGTAAAAACAGGTACTAACTTAATGCACCGTAATCAGCACTACTGCGCAGTAGCGCCGATGCCTGTCTTTTGCATGACGCTATTGTGCAGTCAGTAGGCTAATTCTACTGTGCATTAGCGTGGCTTTCGCTGTGACATGCTAATGCACGGTAGAATTGGCCTACTGCACTTTTAGCATCTCGTGTAGACGCACCCAGGGTAATGTAAAGAAGAAAAGAGAAGTAAGTGGGGATACGAGTCTCTCAACATTTTAACTTTGATTTGAGGAAGACAAAAATGTCCAGAGGCCACTTTTAGGTTTCTGATGATGCCCCTCATTCCTGAATTACAGTGCGTTAATCTCCAGTTTTTTTCATTCAATACTTTACACACAATAATGAAGTTTCACAGTCGTCTCCCCACCTTCACTGATCAGCGCAGTGAGGCACAGATTTTTTTGCATTGCAGTGGCACTTTGAAGCCCCATCTGAGCTCAGAGCCCCGTTGTGCTAGCAGCTGTACACACAGGAAGCAGCAGTGCCTTTCCCGAAATGTGTAAAAGCCTAAACAGATAACCTGAAGGACAAGCATGGAAATAGAGGTGCAGAGATGTCAAATGACCTTTGGCATCATCCATTCACCCGTGCAGCACACGCTTTTGGTTTCCATCATTGCTATTTATAAGTTAAATCATGTCCCACTAAAGTGCACAGTATTTTAGTAATTGAAATCAGTGGGACTAGGATTTACTTTTCTTCACCAGACATTTTAATGGGGAAAGTGACCCCATCCTCTGGCCCAGGAAGCAGTTAGAATATCCCAGCGTTTGGTTTCTTCTTGGCTGGAAATTGGAGCCAAATGAGTCAAGGGAGAAGAATGTGACTCTAGTGAACAAGAAGCAACTGTTGGTGTAGAAAAAATAGGAGCCCTGAGTCCTTGGAGGCCTGCATCTCCTGCATACAAGCAATTAGACTCATATCTTTCCTTTCCTCCACAAAGCAGAGTTAGTGGCAGATGAGACACAGAATGATCCCCCATCCTTTGGGGGATCTGAAAAGGCCACTTTGCAAAGCAAGAGAGGAATTTAGGCTCCACAGGCCTTTTGCTCATTGGTTTACCTGCTTCCAGTGTCAAGAAATGCTAATGAGTTTGATGTCGGGGAGGGAGTGGGATTTGCATTTTAATAACACCAACTCTTGATCTTTAGAAATTGGCAAAAGCCTCAATGAGCTTCACCGGCGTGTATAGAAAGGGAGCAAGTGGTAACAAGTTCATTGCAATTTACCATTGCAGTGCATGCAGATATTCCTTGTGACATATTTGGGCCATTTTTTTTTTTAAATGGGATTGTATTGAACCCGGTCATTTTTATGGCTGCAAGTGTGTCTAATAGAAGCACTGGGCTGGAAGCCAGGAGATACAGGATTCTGCCACTGGCCTGCTCCGTGATCTTAGTCAGGTCATTGTTCCTATGTGCTAATGAGAGCTTTCCTCCCATATTTCCTGGCAGATCTATGAGTACAGAAGAACCTACCATGAATTTCCAAGCCGTTTCAGTGGCCGGCTACAGTGGAATGGGAGCAAAGACATGCAGGATGTGTCCATTACCGTGCTAAATGTGACCTTGAATGATTCGGGGATCTACACCTGTAATGTCACGCGGGAGTTTGAGTTTGAGATTCACCGCCCACTCTTCAGAAGCTCGAGACTCATCCACCTCACCGTGGTTGAGGAGGGTACGAAGGATTGGAGGGAATGTCAGTTAAGCTGTCAGTTGTAAACTGCTGCATCAAGGGCAAGTTTATTGCAAACCAGACTAATGGTCTTTCAGTAGTATCCCTGGAGAGGGGCAGAGAAGCTGCAAGCTGCTGGGTTATTTGCAGACAGACCTATCTTCCGCTTTACTAGATCAATAGTCTGGCTAAGCTCGGAGATGAAACTCCCCGTGCTTGAGGGGTCTGACTATTTTAAGTGTGAATCAGGGAAGATGTTCAGGTGCCATCAGAGTGGGAGAACAACCAGAGCAGCACAGTGTACCAAGCAGATATCTCAGCAGGCTTTTTTCCCAGCTCAGGACACAGGCTATTCCCTGGTGGCTGTAAGACAGCATCAGGGCTTCAGTGGGTCGGAGCAGCACTGAGGTGGTGACCTCTTTTCTTCCCTCTCCCACTGTGAGCATCTCTCCATGCATAACTCCCTGCCTTTGACCCACACTGCACTTTATCTTTGCGACCTTTTCCCCTCTCCCATCCTAGTAGTGAAATCTAGGGCCCATTAAAGTCAGCGGGACTTCTGCTGCTGACTTCACTGATGCCAGGACTTCACCCAGTCCATTCCCTCACATGAATTTGTCTCCCTGTCTCCCAAATCACATTGTTTCTTGGTCTCTCTCACATGCCCATCCTCAGTGCACTATAGGACAAGTAAGGGTAAAGCAGGGAATAGAAAGCACAGTATAAACAAATCAAAGTCCAGGATGAGCTGGGCTAAAGGTGGTGGTCTATGCATGCACGTGTGCTACAGGGGGTGTAACATGGAATTAGGGGCAAGCATGAACATACCTGGGGACTGTGCAGGATAGAATACGTGAAACAAAACCCTTCCCCCTTCAGCCCTGCCCAACAATCCCTCCTGAACCTGGAGGTGCAATCCCAGTTTCTGGATGAGGGATAAGGGCAGGAAGCCTCAGCCCAGGGGAATCAATTCAAGGTGATGCATTGACAGACTGTCCCTGGGCTGCTTCAGTGCTACTGGTTCCACTGGCTGTAGAAACTCCACACTCATATTCTGGCAGGTCCTTGGCCTCCTGATCTTATTTCCAGTAAAGGAGGTGGTGTAAGCCCTGCAGTTCTGTATACTTCCTGTTGCCCCTTCCTGTGGGGTTTTGCATCCAGTTGAGGAGAGGAGGGCACTGGTTCTTTGAAGACCAGTTTTGTTTTGCACCCTCTGAGGAGGGGGCCAGTGACATCTTTATTCTATTTTGCTGACAGCTGGCGATGACTTCACTTCAGTCATCTCTGAAATTATGATGTATATCCTTCTGGTCTTCCTCACCTTGTGGCTGCTGATCGAAATGGTCTATTGCTACAGGAAGGTCTCCAAAGCAGAGGAAGCTACCCAGGAAAATGCGTGAGTATAAAAAGCCTGCAGGCTTGCAAGCACGTGCAAGCTGTCCTCCTCCACAGAAATACCAGGTCATTCAGAGGGTTCACCAGACCTCTGACTCTGGGGCTGTAAGGAAAAGGGTTCTGGTCTCATATTAATTTCTCCCAGATGCTTTTGCTGTCTCTCTCCATTGCAAAATGTAGCTGTATTGTGAATGACAACACACCGGCTTAGCAGAGGGTGGTATTAGGGATGGAGGTGGATTGGCCAAACGTGGGACCATGTGGAACAGGCAGGGCCTTGTTAAAATGCTACAGATATTTTCCCAGGACCTCCCTGCAACACACTTGACGGGTTAAAAAAAAAAATAAGGCCCTTTAAGTGTTAGCCTGCTTTGTCCCTTTCCCTCTCCTTGAGGCAACAATGCTTTTGTCCATTGTGGGAGTGAGAAGTATTCTAGCACTCGATAACTACATCCAACTTTGCCCCTGTCCTTGAAGAAAAAGTATGCTGAAGGTGTTTTCTGAAGGGAGATCACAGCTGCTGTGCTGTCAACTCGGCCAAAGGCAATGGAGGCCTGGTACTTCAGAGGTGCTAGGTTATGGGTGCTTGGTCTCTGAAAACCAGGCCGTGAAAGCTCTCCAGCACCTGGGGTGACCCTTTGCTCTTCCACCCACAGGACTGACTACCTCGCCATTCCATCAGAAAACAAGGAAAACTGTTCGGTGCCTGTGGAGGAGTAGCAAAGGGGAGATGGTGGCATGATGCGCCACAAGGTAGGTGAGTTCAGTCCGGTTCCAGGGAACGGCTGATTCCACCTTTTGCAAGCGGTAGGAAAAAGGACCCACTTCCTCTGGGGTGGGCTTGAAATGGAGAGACGTGTTATACTGACAAAAATCTTGGAAAATTGGAGAGGTGAAGTCCCAGGTTGGTTCTTTGTCTGAGGCTTCCCTGGTGGCCTTCGAAGCAGTTGGCATGTAGGCACTGGGGGTGGATTTAGATTATTTTTAAACTCAGTAGCACAAGACCTGGCTGTGCCTGAGCCTTTTCTTGCCAGGAATCTATCAATCGTCCATTGATCTATGCCCCCACATCACCAGGAGCAGCTGAGCACTTCAGTCTTCAGTGCATTTATCTTCACAGCAGGGGGGTGCTACTATCCCCATTGTGCATTTGGGGAGCTGAGCGAGGGAGACTAAGGACTAGGTCCAAAAAAAGGACTTTACTCAACTGGGCTACCGGGACCTCCCCGAGTTAAAAGGGGGATGTGTATTTGTGGTGGGGGGCACCTATTTCTCAGCTGCTCTGCAAAAAGTTTTGTGCGCCTCCTCAGAATATGGTAGCCTTTATGCCAGGGTCACCCTGCCCTGCCATCTGCTTGGCTTTGGACCACTACAGCTAACTACCTGTCTCTATCCCATGGTAAGTGGAAGTTTAACCCTGAATAAAACAACTGCTAAGTTAATGTAGTTTAACAGTTCTAGTTTCACTTCTGCTTACTGCGGAATAGCACCAATCCACGGACAAGACATATTGCATGTGGTAAATCCCACCCCCCACCTCTCCTTCTTTTAACTCATCGTAATTTGTTCATCTGTCCCCTTCTATCTTTCCTCTCCACATTTAAATAAAACAAGTTACTTTCCCTTTTTTTCCTAAAGAAGCCCCAGTACATATATCGTCACACCAGAATCCCAGAACCAAATTTTAGAAATCTAAACCCCCTCTCCACCTTTCACATGACTTGCTGTAGCTTTTATCTGCATCTGCCTACACAGCCCCAAGGAAACATCGCTATAATACAGGACCATGTCTCCATGGATAAGGAACGAGCCACATCCAGGCTTTTCTGTCTCTTGCAGGGGCTCTGAAGTTGGAAGGACCATGCAATTCCAGTCAGGTTTGGGGGAACCCTACAGCATCAGGAGGAAATGAGGGAAAGTGTAAAAATCCCTTCTATTTGCCTTGGACTTTATACAGCCTTGACATCAGCTTCATGATTCCATCCTGAGCTGCCAGCCTGTTTGCTAAAGGACTCTCCTTTGAAGCATGCTGAGCAAAGGGCATGGGGGTATGGGCAGCACGGCTCCTTCCCAAGTTTCAGCCCCCACCTCACCCTAATGGCTCTGTAAATATCGGTGTCATTTCTCACCCCCCTCCACATTCTCCTTTGTTTGCAAACGATGCTAATCCTGCCTGGGAGCTTAGTGGTGTGTCACATTGCTCTGCCCTGTGTGACCTGGAGAGGGGTCATCTTAGTACAATGCTCAGCCATTTAGTAAAGCAAACTTAGACACTAGAGTATCCCAACCCTGCACCTGCTGCCTCCCCTTTAGGTGCCTGCATCTCGGTTGCGGCTGCAAGCATGAGACAGAGGCTGGGGGTACCAGAGTGCCCCGAACAGCTTGATACTGCACCAGCTGTCTGGGACACGGGCGCTGCTTGTTGCTGAGGAGGGGATTGCGAGAATTCACCCTAAATGTAAAGCATCGCTGCCAATCTGGGAGGCCCCCACGCTGATTTGTAACTCAACACAACCCTGACACCCAAGTCATTGAATGCAACAGCCATCCGTGTAGTGTCTGCTAGTCTTGCATTGCCACTTCACCCATCAGATAGTCTGAGTGTTTCCTGATCGCTGACGTAACCTCCATCAAATAGCAGCAACACAGAGCAGCAGCATGAGAGAGATTTAGCCTACTAGAGGATGCTGCTAATTTCAGGAGGACTAGAAAGCCAGCAAGCCTGAAGACAGGAGACTAATCCGTTTTCATTCACTTTCTTACCTAAACCATTCTTTCATAGGAAAGTTGGGACAAGGCTTTGGGATTTGTGGAGCAACGAGAAGGCAGGGTAGCAGCACCACCTAGTGATTTTAGAAAGGAAATGCTTGTTTTCTCTATAACCATTAAGAATGCATTATTATTTCCCCTTGATAATATGAGCCATTATTGCACAAGATTCCTATTGCAAATCAAGTTTCTCTTAAAGCACAACTACAGTTTGTTAAGGTAAAGGGTTTTGGCTTCATTAAACAGACCATGTAGCATGAGGACTGAAGCTTAGTTAGAACCCAAGCTAGTTAAGGGTGTTTCTTTGTGGGAGGAAGTGGGGAAATAAGGGGGATGCTGTGCCCCATTCATGAAACAGGAGGATGTTTCCTCATAGCAGCTAGTGTGACATCCCTGCTGCACTAGTGGCTTTACTGCTTGTATGAATTCAGATGGTTCTGCCACACCGACTCTTTGCTTCCAAGTAGATAAAATGCTCCCCATCCAGGCATGCTTCCTGTGTAGCCTTCCTCTGCTTTATGCTACAGCTTAGAAATGACTCTCCTGTGACTGAACCAAATTGGATCAGAATCTACCTATTGTCCTGGTTTTAATAATAGGACAAACTGAAAGCCCAGACTCGGAGGGTTGAACCGTAGCATGTCCAAAACCAGATCCCGGTCTCACATCTCGAACCTAAATTAAGCATGCTTTGTGTATAATGCCACTAAGATTGGGCACTGTTTTCTTAGTACCCCATGTTTAAAACAGAGGAAAGTGTCTCCACTTTTGGTTCCTTTTGGATGTCTTCATTTTTCTCAATGCTTGCTCATCCAGCCTAAGATACTATTGTGCATAATGCTAACCCTGGGGGCTTGGCCCCAGGGACTCAGGCAGCGGGAATAAATCTTGACTTGATGGTTCCAGGTGGCCACAGCCTTGATGCACTGTGTGACTTTAGGTAGGTCACTTAACCTTTTTCATGCTTCAGTTTCTCCATATGTAGGATGAAGATGCTCCAGCAAAGCCATAGGGTTCTTTAAGAGTTAATGAATGATAAAATGCTGAGAGCTGCCTCAGAGGGAAGGAGGGAAAGAAGGGTTGTGTTTAATCCCCTATGCTTTCCTTTCATGATTTTGTCTCAAGATGCTGTTGTGTGTGGCTTTCATCTTCCATTCACCCACTCCTTTAAGAGGCACTCCAGCAGACAGGCACTACCAATCTCCTGTGAGTATTTTCAGGCAGGGGGAAGCTGCATTAAGGTTTCACCTTCCCATTGAAAGAAAAAGGGGAGAGAGTCATTTGTCCTGGTGTTAAAGGCTGTTTGTGTCTTCTGGGAAGATCTTCCCCAGCTGGTGTCAGGAAAGACCCTCTGTGTATATGGAAATGACATGAGAGACCTTAGAAGTAGGTAGGACAATAAAAGAGAAGCACTCCATGAACTCAAGAGCCGCTCTGTCATTTGTTCAATACTTTTTTATTCATACTGTACTTCCGTTTTGTACTAGCTACTTTACAGTAAGATTTGGCTGTGTAGCCTTTATAACTCCTAGGATCTAGCAGGTAAGTTTCATTATCGGGCTTATCGCACCTTGCGCACAGCGCAAAGTTTATTACAGTTACAGAGCCAAACACAGAGAGCCAGACAACCCCGAAAACACAACTGGTGTTCATTGTGCACGTGGCCCAGCCCCAGAGTCTGTCTTACTACTACAACCCATGTCCGCTCGAAACCAGGCGGATGTAGGTCCTTGGCCTGTCGTCCCTCCTTTCCCACCATGTGGTGTTACAAGTCAGAAGGGTTGGGCATTCCTTGGGGCTGACCACACAACCCCCTCCTGTTGAAATAAATCCATCCTTACTAACCGGGGATGATTTGCAGCAGTCAGGGTTGCAGGAACCCGGCCCACGACTGGGGGAAAAGAGCTATTTCAGGAACGCAGCAGCTTTATCCAGCCCTGGAGCATTTGGTGAGCTGGGGAAAATAATGCAAAGCAAACTGCTGGTAACACCCCAAACGTGTGGTCACAATACTGTATCCGGCTCAGGGAAGGCAGCATCTGCTCACAGCGGTGAGGTTGAGTTTGCTCAGCCCTCCCTTCCAACTGCACTGGACCAAGAGTGCGGGTAAGTGCTTCCATGTTTGTTCTGTTAAGTACCCTTTACAGGGGAAGGTGGGTTAGCCAGCAAAGCAGATGAACAACACAGAGCTGCTGCTGCTGCTGCTGCTTAGCAGCTCACAGACTTGGTGCCGCAGGGGACAGTATGGACTGAGACTGGAGCTACAGCAATGCAGCTCAGCTCTCGAGCCTCTCCTGGTGAGGGTGGGGAAGGTGGCTGCTTAATGTGAGCAGTAACATTGGCCAAAATGAGTGAGGTAACAGAGACGGTCAGAGGAGAAGCCTCCCTGAGCCATGTGCAAATAGAGTTCCCTCTGCAGAAGGAAGTCCTTTTCCAACCCAAACCAGAACACATTCACTGAGTAGCAGGGCACAAACTGCTGCAAGGAAAGGCAAACCGGAGACAGCACCGGGTCTGTCCATCTGGGGTGAGGGTGATCTGGAGAAAAAAGGGGGTGATTGTCCAGCAGCAAAGGTGGGAAGGGAGGAGGTGGAGCCAGGCAAGCCTTGTAGCTGCAATACATGTTGGGAAAGACCATGTTCTCCTGCACGAGCGGTGCTAAGAGTCATGCCTGCGCTCTCTGCCTTGTGAAAGGAATAACCAGCTGGGGGGGCTGAGCAAGAGAGGGAGAGAACAGTGCTCCTTTTTTGGCTGGTTTGCACATCTAGAAAATCAGTGTTATGGCACAAACAGGTTTGCGTGCAGAGGGGAGAGAGCGAGCGAGCGCGGAGCAGCAGCTGACCACAAGGAAGGGAGCGTGAACCTTGAGCACGGTTCACTCGAACAACTTCCCTGTGATTGTTTCTCAAACCAGCTGTTTCAGATGCTTTGGTCTCCTGGTTCCCAGCCAGAGCGGTGCTTAACAAAAGAACATGCAGGTAGTTCTACAGTTCATGCCCTCCCACTTCTCCAACCTCAAACCAGGCTCCGTCACAGTAAGCAGCCCCCGAATGGCAGCATCTCAGCCTTGCAAGGACCCCACCAGAACTAGCCCTTCAGGTGGCTTCCCAGGAGGCGCAACACACTCTAAAGGCTACAAATGGGGCTTGGGGAAGCAGCCCTGGCAGAGACAACAGGCTTCAACAGTAATGGCCCAGTTCAGTGCAGTGGATTTGTTGACCACGACAAGCCAGGCCTCTCTTCCTCCAATGGCAGCAATTGAAGCCTTTGGATATCGAGACCTGCAGCTCGGGCCTTAAGTACTGTATTGGCTGTGCTCTTTTTCTGTCACCTGTTGGGGAACTTGCCTAACTATCCAGAACCACGTGCCCTCAGATGTAAGATGTAGTACAAACTACCCGGGGCGGGTCCATACCCTGTCTGGGACATCACTTGAGAAATATGCAGGTCAGCCTGGTGGTGCAGGGGAGAAAGCCTGTCTGTTTTGAGGGATTTATGGTGTAAGGCTTGTTAGACACTTGTGTGGATTTATCTCATTCAGGAGCGATGTGACCCTAGCGCAGTGAGCTTAGGGCTTGTCTACAGGGGGAAGTAAGCCAGGGTGTGAATGTGCGCTGCACTCGCCCTGCTCTGAAAGTGGAGTTGGTTACCTTTGCATTTACTGTGCCTTAAGAGTCTCTACACAAAAAGCGAGCTGAAAGTAGGTAGTGCGCTGTAAATACAACCCCTCCCTGACTGCACAGGCACATCCCCCATAGAGAAGCCCTTGGATAATTGTGGATCAAAAGGCTAGTGAAGCCACTTGCCTTTGAAACGGAAGCGTCCTCGTGAAGGTTTAATGTGCCCTGACTTAAGTGCATTTATCTTTAGTTGATGCACCTTCACTTTCCCATGTGTCCCCATGCAAACAAGCCTTAAGGGTAGGGAATTCCTGGAAAGACACTGGGGGAGGAGAGAACAAACCAACCTGAGGTGACCCACTCCATCCAGTGGCGCTGGGAGACCCTACGCTACCATTTGGCAGGGAGAAAGGGGAGGGGAGGAGACAAGGCACATTGAGTTGTTCGACGCTAACCTCTGTTTCGCAGGTTGTTTGACAATAGAAACACTGGCCATTTTAGCTTTGGGCTGGATTTGGAGTGGAGAGCTCTCCTCCAGTTCCTCTCTCTAGTGCAGAATGATGGGAAAGCCACTGCATGTCCCACTCCAACTCTCCATTCGGGCACCCCTAGCTACAGAAAAGGTGAGGAAAGGTCAAGCCCTAAAATACAAAGCTACTGTGGAGGGGAACAAAGTCAGGCCACGTGCCACAAGTCCTCTGCTCACAGGTTCCCAGGACCCCCCATTTTCTACTCCTCCGCTGCTCAGCATGCTCCCAATTGAAGGTTGTTGCCGTTGTGCCCTGCAATCTCTCCTGCCGTTCTTCAACGTCAAAGGACATGTGCAAAGCAGCTGTCTGGAGAAGCCAGGCAGCAGGAGAGCACTGGACAAGGTAACCCTCCCTGTTTATTTTTCTACCTTGTGT